TCGTAGGACGTATTTTCTTGTAAAGTTCATATTTACTGAGATATCGCACTTTGACGCACTAATGAGCAACCCTATATATTGTTAGCAGAAACTGAATGCAGCAAATATGTGTTGATCTTCCGTTCTATATATTTATTCATTGATTACTTATTGTTTTTGAAGAAATACGTAATAAAGAAAGTATTATGTAGTAACCCCAAGGTATCTAATCTGTTATTTATCTACTGTGTGATTTAATGCATCAATATTACATTAAGAAAGTCTATTTTGTAAAGCTGCTCCAAAATCATTTAAATAGCTAAAGTCCTATTTAGGTTTTACGGACGCTGAACGGTTATGTCGTTTTTATTTGGAACCATTATCCAAGCGTACCTGCATTTACCTTCTATGCTATAAGTGATATTAATGGCAATTCTTATGATGTAATATAATTCACGTCATTTAATTATTAAATTGCATGCTTTTCGGATTTCAGAAACTCAGAGACTACTATTGGCACCTTTGTGACTGTTTAACAGCTAGCAATTGTCTGATCTGAACTCATTATTATTTACTTTTTATGACATTTTAATATTGTTCCAACATTGAAAGACCCGATTGTTTCCTAAATCGAACAGAGAGAAATGCAACTACCTAAATTCAAATCAGATTATTTTGACTAGTTTCAACGTATCGGACTAAGAGAAAAGACGAATTTATTCGCTAAATGCCAAAATGCTGATTTTTTTTCAATACGCAAAATATAGGGAAAATCTTTGACGTATACCTTCTAAGAGCTACATGTGGCCTAGGTGCATCTGGTTAGGGATAAAGGTACTAATGTAGAGACTTTAATTTCATGTTTTAATGGTGTACAGCTTTTTATTGCTGATCCACAGAAGAACGTGTTGCGTTTATTATATACTTATTAACATTTAATGTTCCCGTTTAATTTTAATAAGTTACCACAGTTAACAAATTCGTTTCGGTGCTTTCGCGAAACCCACTTTTAATAGCTCCTACGTCAATTACATATTGAAACATGTAATTGAATGGAAACTTGGAGCCTTCCAAGATATACTAAGTAATGACTATTCATCATGGGGCACCCTGTATATCAATGCAAGAAAATGGAGAAAAACAGAGTTGACCTTGCACATTGGGCGCCTTTTGCTGGAAAATTTTGCAGCATTACTTTTTCAATTGGTTAAAGTTAAAGGACTAACAATGTTACATGTTATGTAAACAACGCGATGACGTTTGAATCCTATATCTATCTATTTTTAAATCATCATGAAGCGAAACTAGTAAAATTGATGATATAGTTAAATTTCTGGAATAAAGTAGCAGTTATTAATACGATGCGACATTCGGTGCAAATAAAAAGTAAAAAGTTATATTTTAATAGCTGTTCAGAATGAAATAATTTAAAAAATAAAAAAATATAGAGATAACTAGACCGCTAGCAGAACTTTAATAGTTATTTACGTTACCAGTAGGATATGAATATTATTAACGCACGCATGTGAAGATTTGCACGAATTTGCAAAAAATTTTATGTTGTTTGTGGACAAAATATTAGATT